CACTTGGTAAATTGCAAGGCAAAATCCCCGCGTGGAGTTAAAGTCCATGAAGTCAGCGTCGTAAATTACATCGAGCGCTATTGCTCTCCGCCCAGCCTCAGGGTATTGTTGGGGTACGGTTCGGGGTTAGGATGCTGCTAGTTCAGAGACAAGAGAGAAAGAGAAAGAGAAAGAGAGAGAGAGAGAGAGAGACACAGAGAGAGAGAAACAGAGAGAGGCTAAATACTGCGTCAACAGAAAGCTGTCGTTGACATGTTACTTATGCTTGGGCAGAGAGCAGAGAGCAGAGAGGGAAAAACAGAGGGAGAGAGGGAGAGGCAGAGAGAGAGCAGGGACAGGGAGAGGGCCAACGGACCACAAGAAATTGTAACCATAGATATGCGACAGACCGCAGCACCCCTCCTCGATTTCAGCCTGCGTGACAGCCATCTCGCCAGCGAAAAACTCACAGTGGTCAATCGCTGACCAATCCAGTTTCGGTAGTCGAAGCACGAGGGACACGAGTATGCCGACGACCTCTGGGATAGGATAAGACACACCCAGTGCATGATAGCTCCCGGGACACGAAAGGATCATATCATTCAGACAACTCAAACATATGTTTATGTTCCGAAGCCAAGCTTCAGCCGGTGCACCAAGTGCACGCAAACGACGCAGCGTTTTCCCCCGCTGCTTTTTCCGTGTACCAGCACAGGATTTTGCCATCACGGCTGACTAACAAAATATGTATCTTCGATAGATTGTAAAAGTTGATCGGCTAATTAGGTGTACCTAGCTATATCTGACGACGATGGACAAATGCAATTCTGATAAATTGCGTTAGCCAGAGATACCCTTGAGCATCGACACAATCATGCGAGAGTGGAAACTCCTGAAACATGAAAACCTAAAGCTCCTTGAGGGCTCCAATTCAAAAGGTTACCGGTGCTGCCTGAGCAGTCTCCTCAACCACTGCAAAGGCAACGGCCATCTTCCCCAGTGACCTGCAGCAGCCCCCAGAGCGTATGCGCAACCAAAGCGTCATAGACATGAAACGTTTAGGCCAACATGCTTCAAACACAAATCACTTTAGTTTTCATTCCTTCCACA